TAACTGATATTTCTACAGCTCATCACAAAACTTCAAGGTCCTTTCATGCATATTTCCTCATTAAATGCCCTGGTGAACCAGTGCAGTAGGCACTGCACTGCTTATGGATTTGGGGAGGACAAACATTCAGTCCCTAACAGGAGTGGAGGAAAGATATACTGGACAGGTTTCAGGCTGGCAGTGACATGTCACTTCCCATTGTTGGCAGGAACTGCAAACTCAGCAGCAGCAGCCTGTCCATGGCCGCTGTGGACATCCTCTACATTGACATCACACGGAGGTGGAACTCCATGACCCTGGATCAGCGGGACTCAGGTACCTGACAAATGCCTCTGCCATGGCCTGTGGGGGTCCTGACAGGCGTGGGTGGTATATTTTCTGTTCCTTCTTGTCAGAGGTTCAGATGGGGGAAGAAGATGATGCCATCAGATCTAGACATCATCCAGGGTTTGAGCTGAATTTAAATCCTGGAGCATTGTCTGCCACCAAATTCTCATGCCACCGTTAGCATTCTTTGCCTTTGCTTAAAGCTCAGATTCCATCCATACTGGGAACACTCAGTTATTCATTCATTTGTTCACCCCTCACACACATTTCCTGAGGATGTGCTGGGCCCAACCTTGGGTGGGCTGGAAGATATAGTGCTTGGTTCTTGTCCTGAAAGAATTCACTGTAGCATTGGGACGCAGATGAGAAAATGATGCTGGGTAGTAGGATGCCTGGCTGTTGGGGAGAGAAGCTCAAAGAAGCTATCCGGGAACCCAGCGGAGGAGCTCCTCATCCAGGGAGGGCCAAGGAAGACTTCAGGAGAAAGGTGTATGGGATCAGCTGGTGAACAGGGCTGGGACAGACACTCTGGCAGGGCTATTGCCTGGCCTTGGCATGGACACAGGAGAGGCTGTTGAGCTTAGATCGTATCAAGTAGCCCAGATGGGCTAGAGCAAAAAGGGATATGAGAAGGGGTAGAGATGGGGTTAGGGGAGTTGTCAAAGCCTTGAATACCACACAAGAAATTTTGATCTTGATCATCTAGGTTCTGTGGTGAAGGGTTCTGTGAGAAGAACCCACCTTCAGGTGGATGAGTTTCCTATCTTTTTCCTCACAGAGGGTGTTTCTCTCTTTCTCTCTCTCTTTTGTTTTTTGTTTTTTTGTTTTTGAGACGAAGTCTCACTCTGTTGCCCAGGCTGGAGTGGCATGATCTCAACTCACTGCAACCTCCGGCTCCCAGGTTCAAGCAATTATCCTGCCTCAGCCTCCCAAGTATCTGGGATTACAGGTGCAAGTCACCACACCCGGCTAATTTTGTATTTTTTGTAGTAGAGACAGGGTTTCACCATGTTGGCCAGGCTGGTCTCGAACTCCTGAGCTCAAGTGATCCACCTGCTTTGGCCTCCCAAAGTGCTGAGATTACAGGCGTGAGCCACTGCGCCCAGTCCAGAGGGTGTTTTTCTAAAAAAATTATAATAACCGTAACTGATATTTCTACAGCTCATCACAAAACTTCAAGGTCCTTTCATGCATATTTCCTCATTAAATGCCCTGGTGAACCAGTGCAGTAGGCGTTATGAGTCTCATTTCACAGACAAGTAAACTGCAGCTCAGGTGACAGAAATCACACAGGACCTGTGAGCCCACAGCACCCCGGCACCCACGCCACCCCCTCTTCTGGCTGCCTCCCTCCAAAAGGGACGCACAGAAGGGAGGCACCGGGTCGTGAGGAGTGGGGCAGCTTGCTCCTGTGAGTCTGTGGAGAGGACCTGAAGTCAGGTTGGGAGATCCAGATTAGAATTGATTATGCCATTTCCTGCCCTTGTCAGCATGAAAAGTCATTCCAACTCCTCATCTCCAGTTCCTCATCTGTAAAATGGCACCAAAAATCCCTGCTCTCCAGGGTTGCTCTGAGGTCTTTGGAGTCCTTGGTGATGGTGCAAGCCAGTTTATCTTATTACTGGACACCCCTTGGGGAGAATCCTGGGGGCCGTCTGCCTGGCAGCTGCTGCACCCCTAGGCAGTCCTGCCCTACACCCATGTGGGCCAGAAACTTCCCAACCACAGAGGCGCAGCCCGTCCTTCCTGCAGGGCACCGGTGCTCAGGCATCATTTGCCGCTTGGCTTCGTGTTTAGTAATGATGCTTCCGGCTGCCAGTTCTTGGCCAATTCTTATATGCCAAGCACTCCACAGGCACTTTACATGTGCAGCACCGGCTAGAATTCTCCTAGAGGTAGATATGATTATCTCCATTGTGCAGAGGAGGAAACTGAGGCCCAGAGAAGCATGGCTAGTGGATAAGGTTCAAACACCAATCCACCCGAGCCTCTTTCGGGTTGCCTTCTCCTACCAACTGTCCTAGAGTGAGATGACCACCAAGCTCCCTACAGCTCCCTTTTCTTTAAGTCAAAAGCAAAACCCAGGAAATAGCAGCAGTCATTGAATCAACAAGGTGAGTGCCTCTCTCGCATCTCTGCAGTTGGCAGCTCCCTTCCAGCCCTCCCTGGCAACCAGGAGAGGCGTGAGATGGAGCGTCTTCAAGAGAAGTAGGCAGATTAATTATCATTCCGAGGACTGAGAGTGCTCATGTGACAATCGAGCGGCGGCACTTTCTGCTGACACCTTCAGAAAGCAAAGAAGCGTTTGCTCTGTGAGCTGAATGTGGGGAGTCATCCAGGATCCCACGGAGGGGGCCAGATGAGGGGGTGGGGGTGGCAGTGGAATTATTAAATATTGAAATTGATCAGGAGTAGCAGCAGGAAGCTATTTATCATGTTTTGTTGCTGCAAACTAGCATTACCATCTGGCCCACTGTTAATTCGGAGTAGTTTTTCATGTTTTGTTTGCCTCTTAAATTGCTCCCGGTAAGCGGAATCCACAGGGGCTGTCCGCAATTCAAGCTCCGGTGAGGTTTTCTGGGGTCTGCCTGGGTCTCTGTATTCTGCTGACCAAGCTATGGAAATGAGAAAAATTCTTATTTTTAGCACATACTGATAAGCAAATTCAGGGTTGGGATCTCCCAGGCCTTTCACCAGACCTCTCAGCCCCTGACTAGGTGGAGTAGTCATCACCAGTAGTAACAGCAGTTTTGAGATGACTTCATTTGTGCATATATCACTGCAAATTCTTGCCAGGCCTTCAAGTTGGGCAACAGCATCCCCTTTTACAGATGTGCACCCTAAGGTTCCAAGAGCAAAAGTGACTTGTCTAAACTCCCACAGCCAGGGAGTAGCAAAGGAAGGCAAGATTTGAACTCAGGCCTCCTACCTCCTCGCCCAGGGTGCTCTACCCCCATCCAGGGCTACACAAGCAGTGCTTGTTCACTTAAGTAATACAGAGGGTTGGGGCTCATGAGGCAGGAGTCAGAGGGGACGGCAGCAGCAGGAGGATAAAAGTCAATTCACAGGGCCTGCTGGGAGGACAGAACTGGAGCAGAGAGGGTGCCTGTCCAACCTCTTGTCTCCCTTTCCTCCATCCTCTGAGTTTTCATCACTCCTGGAAGGAAATAACAGGGCCTGGGGGTCTAGAAAGTGGGCCTGGGCATGAAAGCCATGCATGGGAAGCCTTCTGTGCCCATGGTCTCAGTAGCCACTGCTGGTACCAGCCAGAGCCCAGTTCTTGCCTCCTTCTCAAGGCTGGTCCAAGCCCCTGATTCTCAAGGAGAGGGGCATCTGGAGACAGCCAACTTCTTAGGACCATTCAGGAAGCTACTGAGTAGCAAAAGGAGAAGTCTGTGGTTGAGTGGTTGTTCTTCCTTTTGCCAAGTGTCAGCAGAAAGGCCAGAGGGTCTTCTTTTCTTCCCTCCATGGTGTGGAGCCGAGGGGTTTGAGAACCTCAGATCCAGTTAGGTACTGGCTGGAGGTGTGGGTGCCGTGCTGAGGGAGACGGCTTTCCCCATCCCACAGCTGCTGGGGGCTGAAAAGAAAGAAGCCTGTGAAGAATGATAGAGCCTGGGTTCTCATACTCAAGGAACACGTACTCATTCATTCATTCATCCACTCAACTAACAGCTACTGAACATGCTACCAGGCGTTGTGCCCTGCAGGGATATAAAGATAAATTATGTACAGATCCTAGCCTCTTAAGGAAAAAAAGAGACCATTTACTGAACATTTATATGGGACAGAAATAAAAAATGCTTGCTATGAATTACCTCATTTCCTTCTCGCACCATCCTGTGAGATAAGCGTTGTTATTCCCATTCAACAGATGAAAAACCTGAGCCTGAAAGAGGTGAAATTACACAGACATGTCAGGTATTACAGTGGGGGCCAGTAGCAGTGACTCATGCCTGTAATCCCAGCACTTTAGGAGGCTGAGATGGGAGGACTACTTGAGGCTAGGAGTTCAAGACCAACCTGGGCAACATAGCAAGACCCCATCTCTATAAAAAACTTAAAAATTCACCAGGCATGATGGCACTTGCCTATAGTCCCAGCTACTTGGGAAGCTGAGGCAGGAGGATTGCTTGCACCCAAGAGTTCGAGGCTGCAGTGAGCTACAATTGTGCCACTGCACTCCAGCCTGGGTGACAGAGATCCTGCGTCTAAAAAAAATGTTACAGTGGGGACCCTAGTATTTGAATAAAAATCAGCCTAACTTCAGAGTCTACTGCCCTTTCCATTATACCCAGTGTCTCTCAGTCACAAATGAATATGACATACAGTTGACAATTGCAATAGTATGCGACCAGAGCTATCATGGGGGGAAGCAACAGAGGAGGGTTGCTGTGAGGGTTAAGAGAGAATGCATACAAGGCATGTAGCATGCTGTGACCCAGAAAAGCCACCCACTGTGCATTCTGCATCCTCGAGGGCTTAGCACATGGCCTAGAACATGCAAAGCATCTCGCCCAGTGCCCAGTGAGTGTTTGATGAGCAGACGAATGCAAAAATAAAAGATGCCCTGCATCCTCAAAGCAGGGAGTCCCGAGTGTGAGAACCGTGGCTCAGAGTAGAGGTGGTCTTTTTGCCAGAGTCTCCCTCCCCTCCTCTGAATGCCTAGTTGGACTGGATCATCACCCATACCCAGTGCCTGCCGTGTCAAAGTGCTAAAGCATCTTCCCCTCTCCTGAAGCCAGCCAGACCTTCCTTCTGCCATTATAAGACTTTGGTACACACCGAAGGGGTTAACCAGATCCCTGATGCTTGAGATCTTTATGAACAAAAACATCCTGCAAAAGGGAACCTTGCTATTGAAATGGAGAAGAAAAAATGGTGCTTAAAATAATTAGGAAAAAAATCAAAACTAGTGAGAAAAAGCATGCACATGATGAAGTCGAAACCTCAAATAATCAGTTTAAATAAGTTTGCTTTTGATTGTTTGT